GGCTTCTTCACGCCGCCGGTGGCCGGGGCGCTCTTGCGGGCGGCCTTGGTGGCCAGCTGCTTGCGCGGGGCCTTGCCGCCGGTGGACTTGCGAGCGGTCTGCTTAGTACGAGCCATGTCCTTGCAAAGGAAGTATTGTGCCGTGGACCCTGCTGAAGCCGTATTTATAATGAGAATCTGAAGCTGATTGGACGAGAGTACACTGCGCCCAGCCCACTCAACTATAAAGGTATTGGTCAACTGTTCACGCGCGTTGCCTTTTTTTTTTCTTTTTGAATCCTGCACCTAACATTTGAAATGTAGATGTTAGAATCTTAAACAGTACACCCGTCAATCGGGAAACTGAGGCAGGAGACTCGCTTCTAGGTGGAGAACAGTCTAAATTGTATAGTAAATGATCTTGTTGCAAAGAAATGGTTGCAAACCCTTTGATACCCTTGGTGATCTCTGGGCTGTTTGTTTATTCCTCCTGAATACGTTGTTTCATACGTGCTTTTTCTAGTTGACATATGTTCGAGTGACAATTTTTCCCTAGTACACTAAAACGGTAAATAAATATGCCAGGTAATGTTTCCTTGCAGTAATTTCTCGTAATTAGTATGCCCTGAAACGTTTTACTTTTGTTTAGGATCTTAAAAAATTTGGGGCTATCAAATTTCCAACTCAAATGACAAGTGGCCACCATCAGTCTCAAACCTCTACACAATTATTTTAAATTTTTCATCGGTTTTTAACATGTTAAAACTTCAAGGACTAATTTAACATAAACACAACTGTACACGATTTAACTCAAAATAGCATGCTTACAATTCTTACAAAAAATTGACTTTAATCAGATATATTAGTAAAACTATTACATATTTTAAAGCAAGGTTTTCAAGCTTATGTGGAGTTATGAATGTGTAGGGGAACACTAAACAAAAAAAAAAACGTTCAAAGTGATTGCTTCCAATCCATATTGCTATCCACGAAAATGCTCAGTTCTTTTGAAAGACAGAGTGGGTGGCTCTGAAAAGAGCCTTTGGAAATTTTAAGGGAATCATTTCCCCTTGGCCTTGTGATGGCTGCTCTCGGTCTTCTTGGGCAGCAGCACCGCCTGGATGTTGGGCAGGACGCCGCCCTGCGCGATCGTCACGCGGCCCAGCAGCTTGTTGAGCTCCTCGTCGTTGCGGATGGCCAGCTGCAGGTGGCGCGGGATGATGCGCGTCTTCTTGTTGTCGCGGGCCGCGTTGCCAGCCAGCTCCAGGATCTCGGCCGTCAGGTACTCCAGCACGGCCGCCAGGTACACCGGGGC